AAGGACATTCGCTAGAAATACTGTATGCTTCCGTTGTATTTCTTCAAAATCGGCTTTCTTCCTTATGACATTTATCAAAATACTGAACTGACCTAAAATATATGTAATATAGATGTCAATATAGTCAATATAGATATCAAACAACTCACTTTCGAGCACATCCACTTGAATGTAATACTGCAAATTATTCAAAAAGAACATAAGTTGATTAAGGAGATTCATCATTTTCATGTTTTTGGGTCCAGACATCAACTTTTCTGCCAATATCTGTGTTTTCCAAACTTGTTGCAGGTCGTATTGAAGTTTTCTAATTATCAATAGGAATCTAAATATCTGGTTGTATCGCTCAATTGCCTTTGGCGAAAACAAAAGATTCAATGGCCATTTATAAATATATTTTAAATGAAGATTTTCTAAGATTCGAAACTCGCTGTTTTCGTCCAACTCTCCGATAGTTTTCTGAACACTTAGTGAGAAATTTTCCAAATCATCCGTAATGCCCATGACAGTTGCGGCAAGCTGCAATTAAGAGACATATTGTAATATAAATGTATGTATACATATTATTTTAGGTGTTGTTTAAACGAACCTCAAAAGATCTCGTGTAATTTTTTGAACTGGAATCACAGTAGACATCTGAAGCGCGGGTTAGTTGAGATAAAAACTCTAAGTAAAACTCTCCGCGCCCTAACAAATAGAAATCTTTTATTAATCCCATTTGGCGTTCTAAATCAACCTCATTTAGGGCTATCTCTGACAAACGCATGCTAACGTATTTCTTTATTTCGTTTATAACGCTTTCGATATGAAAAACATCAATTTTTTCATCGTTATTCAGATCTTCTACCATGCCAAAGAATAAAGATTCTTTGCCATTCCACAGCTCGTAAATATCATTGGGCGTACTATCAGAAAGATTGTTAGCCCAGTGCTCGTTTTTATTGTTTCTCTGAAAGCTTCGTCCCATTTTAAAAACAAGAATGGTTTGTCCCACGAATAGAACTTTCTCAGCTACGATGGTAGACAAAAATCCTGGCAGTTGACACATATTGATTTCATATTGCCATATATAGTCTTCACAATTAGCAGCGGCATTCTAAAAATTAGCACATTCATTTTGAATTAAAGATGTGTTTGCGGATTTTAGAAACTTACCAGTCGGGTGTTATTAGCTGATGATTTGGAGCAAGAGGTATTATTGGACGATTCATCGAGTGGAGAGAATTTAATAAAAAACTCTGAATGGACATCGTCGATCACTCCAAAAATAAGCCAGTGGGCCAGACTTGAGAAAAATGCAAATTTGACTGGCTTCATGACTCTATAAAAGAAGTACATAGATATAATAAACACTCTTTGTCGATTTTATGGTACTTGCATATTAGTAATTCTCTCCAGTTGAAAATCTCCATGCTCTGAATGTTGATGTAGGCTATGGAGCATTGTACATCCATGTAGTTTTTGCATTCGTATTTCGCAAATAAGTTTTCGCAAAAAAAGGAAAATTGGGAGTTTTTCTTGTAAAGCATCATGAACAAATGCAAGCGAATTAGGCTTATTCTTTGAGCAAAATGTTTCAAGCTGTATGATGTTATCATAATATTCCTCAAGCGCTGCCTCGATGCCTTTGGCAAAATTTATGAAGTAAAAACCATGTGGGAGTTCTACGATAAAATTATACATCGTTACAAGCTATAGTCATTTACAAGTTTACTTGAACTTACCTTCAACGTTGTGATTTTCATTCATTATTAATCTTTTACATCTTTCATCTTCATCTAATCTCAATAAAACTGTGAACTGAACAACTTCTTGAAGAACATTAATAATGTTTAAAATTTCTATGTATAGTTGTCTTTCGCAAGGATGGATAAAATGTTCAATAGCATTGTTGTCCTAAAATACAATAAGTTGACATTAATGTAATCGTTCATAGTATTTATCTATTTATTTAAGTTGGTACTTAGTTCTATGTAAAGTACAACACATATGTAAGTAGATGCTCGACCAATTCTTACCATAAAACTTTGTATACCCAAACCTGTCTTAGTTAAGCAGGATAACAATAAGTCGTGTATCATTTTGGAGCTTTCCTAATTATCACCAGCTTTATTTTGTTTATTTTGTTCAAGGCGACAGATCGCATCAGTGTCACGACCAGTGTGACCGCGGACCTATTAAATATACCGACCAAACCTCAGAAACATACCGAAATATACCTTGTCGTATTTCGACAGCAGCAGAGTGTGACCAGCTGTTCTACGCTCTGACGTTCTGACGAGGTGGTAGCCTGAGCCGAATACCATGGAACCCTGTTGAAAGTTAATTGAAAAGCCATGATCCCAGCTCCCAATAGAGATTACGAATTGTTTATTTCTTTTGAGAGCATGAGCAGCCGGAGGCTTTAAATGTAACTTTTCCGAGTCCTGCGGCACTCTTGTGATTTTCCCACTTTAAATCAGTTAACGCGGGCCCCCTCTTGTTGAACCAAGCGCCCTTTGGCGGCCTTACCCGTTTTAGTGCTGCCGGATCGATACTGCATCCACGATCGCGTGGTTCGCGCCAACAGCTGGTACATTATTTATGTACCTGCACTTTTTACGACGTACGATGTACGACGTACGTAAGTTTTTCTCGTTTCCACTTATTCATCTTTTGCATTGACTTTTTTGGCTCTTCTTTTTTTATTACCTCCAGCTCTATTGGCCGAAACCACCTCTGGCTACAAACTGATATGCCGCGATCCCCTTCTCTTACCCCGTCAGGTAAAGTTATTAAGTTATTATTTATTCATTTACTTTATTTACCTCTTCCTTTCATTTCATCAGTTCGCTCCATCCGGTGGATGTTCTTCCGGTTGATATGATGCTCCTTGACGGCAGTCCACTCCAGGCAACTGACCGGGGCCTGGTCCTGTGCACGGGGCCACGATGCCGTACGCCCCTCTGGGCGCTCGCGAGGCTCTGGCTCTGCTCGCCGTCGTTACATCCTCCGCGGGTTATACCGCCGTAGCTTCTGGACTTCTGGGGATGTCCTACGAATGTGCTCCTGCCTTGACTGTGGCAGCCTCTGGCTGTCTTGCTGCGGGCCATAGCCATGATGCCGCTGAGTCGATAATATGGCGGTCTTATAATAAGTTTTGATGAATAAAATTAAGAAAAAATTATCCTTGCTGTATCCTGTATGGCGGAAGTTATCCCAATTACAAAAAGGCGTGGCATTCCCAGATTGCTTCACAAAAAGCGGAAAAACAAAATATTTTTGATAAGGGAAAATGTCCTTGATCCTTGATATGGACACCATCAAGCCAGGGCATTTTTCCGAACACAGGAAGCCGTCACACAGCCGTCAGATCGGCCTATAAAAAGCGGAAAAAATGAATATTTTTGATCCTTGATATCCTTGGGCCTTGAAAAGGACTTCATTAAGTCAGGGATATATTTCTGATCACAGGAAGCCGTCGCACGACTAGATTAGTCCACAAACAGCCAAGAAAAGTAAATATGTAATTCGGAGTCCTCATCAAAGGATCAAGGATATTTTCCGATCACAGGAAGATATCGCACGCCCCGATTGGCCCATGAGTAACGGAAAAAACAAGATATATATGTCTTGGGAAATTATCCTTGAACCTTGGTCCTTAATAAGGACTCTATAAAATCAGGGACATTTTTCCGATCACAGGAAGCCGTCGCACGCCCAAATCGGCCCACAAATAACGGAGAAAACAAAACGGGCTTATAACTGGCTTTAAAAATGTAGTTCAAGAAATCGCCGATGGGGGCGCCACCGTACAAAGGGAAAAAACCTCGCGTCAAATGGCCAAAATCTGGATGGGATACCAGGCGAACAGAAATCAGCAGCAAGCAACTGTAGCGAGTGCCAAAAAAATTGGTGCATACTTTTGGGGGATCAACAATTTTAAAAAAATTCAGCGACTTTCTGCTGATTTCTGTTGGCCTGGTGTCCCATCCAGTTTTTGGCCATTTGATTTTCGCCGTTTTCGGTGATTTCTTGAACTAAATTTTCAAAAATAACAAATTGAACCAGTTTTCTTTTCTCCCTTATTTGTGGGCTGATTTGGGCGTGCGACGGCTTCCTGAACTCGGAAAAATGTCCCTAATTTTATGAAGTCCTTTTCAAGGACCAAGGATCAAAGGTATTTTCTCCAGACATATATATCTTGTTTGTTCCCTTATTTGTCGCAAGAACGGGGCGTGTCATGGCCCTCCGTGATCAGAAAAATGTCCTTGATCCTTTGGTAAGGACTCCAACCACCCCAACTATACATACTTAGTTTTCTCTTGTTGCCCGATCGGGACGTACGACGGCTTCCTGTGTTCGGAAAAATGTTCCTGATTTGATGAAGTCCTTATCAAGGATCAAAAAAATTTCCCCTTATCAAAAATATTTAGTTTTTTCCGCTATTCGTGAACTGATCTAGGGCGTGCCCCGCGTTTTTGTAATCGGTATATTGTCCCCCATACAGTATACAGCAAGGATAACTTTTCAATAGTTTTATTCATCAAAGCTTAGCTTAGTATAAATAAATAAACAAGTGGAAAACATTTGTGCCTACTATCTAAATGAATGGAAGCGTATATCCTTAAACCTAACAACAACGAGATATATTTAGAATCCAGTAGCCCGCGTAGCCCCTCCCATAGTTTCCATTGTTAAAGTCCTTCTTGTCAATGGCCAGGTCGAAGAATGACGATGGCTTGCTAGGTTCGCATCTTGCGAGGGGTGCGATTCTGTTCTGCTGAGAGACGATTGCGTCTAGCTGGGATAGGACTCGGTCTGTCCCGAATACGCATCCTTAGTGCTTGGGTAGGACTCCATCAGCAGGGTGAAATCGGATACGACTCGGTTTGTGGCAAAGCGTAGGGTACATAAGTCCTCTGTGAATGACTATCCTTAATTATATACTGATTTGATTCGCGTTATGTCCCTGCAGCGCACGGGCAGGGTCGACTTATCGACGAAGCAGCGGCATCATAGCTATGGCCCGCAGCAAGACAGCCAGTCACAGTCCAGCCAGGAACACATCCCTTGGACCTCCCGATAGGACGAAGAGCTACTGCGGCATAAACCGCGGAGGAGGTACCGACGGCGAGCGGACTAGAAAGGCGGAGAAAACAGCATGGGGTGAAAGGAAGAGCTATGGCAGTGGAGGGACCTAAAGGTCGCCCAGGCAAAAGGACAGAGCCGCACGCGCCTTGTATCATGTTCCGAGTGGCGCACGGACTCGTACCCCGGGCACAGGAGCAGCCGTCATGGAGCGCATATCAACCGGAAGACCAAAACTTGAAGCCCCTGGTAAACGATGATGGACACGAAAGACGTATTCCTGGCCACTGGATGGAGCGAACTGATGAAATGAAAGAAAGAGGTAAATAAAGTAAATGAATAAATAATAACTTAATAACTTTACCTGACGGGGTAAGAGAAGAGGATCGCGGCATATCAGTTTGTGGCCAGAGGTGGTTTCGGCCAATAGAGCTGGAGGGAATAAAAAAAGAAGAGCCAAAAAAGTCAATGCAAAAGATGAATAAGTGGAAACGAGAAAAACTTACGTACGTCGTACATCGTACGTCGTAAAAAGTGCAGGTACATAAATAATGTACCAGCTGCTGGCGCGATGCACGCGATCGTGGATGCAGTATCGATCCGTCAACACTAAAACGGGTAAGGGCGCTTGGTTCAACAAGAGGGCGCCCGCTTTAAATGATTTAAAGTGGGAAAATCACAAGTGCCGCAGGACTCGGGAAAGTTAAATTTAAAGCCTCGTGCCGCTTTTCCGGGAAGATATTTCATGAAAAAGGCTCTCAGCAGGATTAAACAATTTGTTGTCTTTATTGGGGGTCATGGGTTTTCCAGTAACCTTCAACAAGGTATTTATGTTTATATTATATAAAAATATATATTTATAAAATGATAATTTGTTGCTTATACACACTTAGCACCTTCAACATTCTAAGGGACAATGTTTACTCCCTGTGATTCTCAAGTGTCAATGGTCTTTCCGCCTCCGTCCACAAATCAGCCAAGTATCTCACGTGTTTACTGTGACCTGGCTAAAATCGTATCTTCTCCCAGTAGTCTGTCGCCATGAATAGCTGTGTATGTGACGAGAGGAACAAAACTGAAAGAAGGAATCGAGTTTAGTTGTGTATCTCGGATTTGATGTACTATGTGTAGTTCATGCGACATCATGCCTTTGCCTGCAACTATTGCACTTTGAAGCCCACCTCCCAAACTACCTAACCAAACGAGAAGAATATTCGCCTGAAGCGAACTCGTTACATTCTTGAATATGTGTGTGAATTCCCATTATAATATTTAGTACAGATGCTTTGAACTGAGTCGTACAAATTGTCAGTTGACGCATAGTAAGTGCGCAAGCGAGATGAAAGAGCATGATCAGTATGGCCTCTATGTCTTGGTTATACGACTGTGGGCCTCAGCTGGGTGGACGAGATGTCGATCGCGAAATGTAATAGCCTAATTAACTTTTTTTGGTCTATTTTTCGACACCTTATACAAAACTATAGATTGATTGGTTTTAAAATATATGTATTTGTTGGTTTACGTTGGGACGCATCCATTCACATATTTTGTAGTGCGTAGTCAACACTTACGAAGCCGTTTGGTTTCTTGCTTGCTGCTTGTCTCTTTCGTACGTTCAGTAGTAGGTAGTACCGACTACTGGTCTATAGTATCATAATCAATGAGTTCTTTACAAGCCCAGTCCGGCAACTCTGTTCTGTACTCCCAATCGACACCCTGCAAATATAACAATTTTGGATATGTATTACTATGCAATATTAATTATGTGCAAGTTAAACATTTTAAATCTTAATTACATAAATATCGTAAGTACGACCAGTAAGGTGTATGTTTGAGTGACGAATTTTATAAGCCCATGAAGTTGCACGACCAAAACATTCATATCTAGATACTATATCTATGCTTATTTACGAAAAAAGACTGTAAAATGTGTCTATACATATATAATAGATCGCAAAGTTACGCGGCCTTCTTGGTAAAAAACACTGTTTTTAAATCGAACCAGAAAAAAAAAAAATTACAATGTGATTTACCTTATATTTCCAAGCATGCAGGTACATGAGCAGATCTTTGGCATTGGGATCTCTATAGTTAACCTTGCACTCATGGCAATGTGGATCATATGTTGTTTTATTTAAATCAAATGGGTCGATTGGTTCTTCGTGACCAGTCTGGGGGGGAGCCTATAAAGTAGAAAGATGATTTTTAAAAAATGTCTGCTTCAACGGATTGAATTGTACGTACTTCTGTAATTGAAGCAACCATTGATGTTATTTTCGAATTCTGAGCTCCAATCTCAATTAAATCTTTGTTTGGTACAGAAGTTTTTATTTCACACTTTAATGGATTTTCCATTAACACATCTCCGCCTTCTTCAACTCCCAACCAATTCTCGGCATTATGAATTTTGATTAGATTGTTGATCAGCTGATCGTCACTTTTTCCTCCAATGTCGCCTCCTCGTCCCTTAGAGGGCCCAAAGACTTCGTGGTTGTACAAGGGATCATTTACAATGGGGTAACCTGCCAGTAAAAGAGTCAATGTTCTTATCAGCATTGGAAATGTACCTAAATAAATTCTTACCTAAATATTGCAGATGTACTCTTATTTGGTGCATGCGTCCGGTGAGTGGTTTGCACAGAACAATGCTACAGTCACCAACTTCAGAAATTCTTCGGAACGTTGTCCTGCAGTCTTTGCCGTTTGGCGATACCCTACAAACTCCAATTTTGTAGCTGACAACTTGAATAGGTTCATTGCATTCAATTATCCCACTGTAAAAAGAATGTATGGTATAGCGTAATTACAACGGCAATTGTGTAGCTTACTCGGGAAAACGACCCTCCACGCGACAAATATATTCCTTTTGTACTTGTCTATTTCTTATTTGTTGTTCCAATTCCCGGGCTTTCTTTGAGGTGCGACCAAATATAAGAAGGCCAGATGTAAGACGATCTAGTCGGTGTATAGTTCTTAGATTTTTTAGGTTGTGCGACTTTGCCAGTATGAACACCACAGTATTATGTCTATACCGACCACACGGATGTACCTGGTAATTTTGTTCGTTTCAGGACATTTTCTTTGCGATCAGTTATTGTGTTGTAATGGACTTACTGGTATTGAGGCCGGCTTATTTACAACCACAATGTCTTCATCCATGTGCACTATAGTAATAGACTGCAGACTTACAGGGACTTCATGCCTATAATACAAAATATATTTAACTGCAATTTTTTAACGTGCTTTTTGCATTTGAGTCGGCCAAAAGTCCCAAACTTTTGAAACTTTAAACCGCCAAGTGATAAAAAGTTGCCTCAGGGGAATATAAATTTCGCATCAGGGTCAAAATATTCATTTTTGACTAATTTAAGCTGTAGTCGTATCAATCGTTCTTCAAAAGAGCAATTCATGGCTTCCTTATACGTGGGAAGATGAGAAGTAGTTAAACGGTTTGGATTTAATAGCTGAATTAGTCAGTTTAGTCCGTTTGAAGTTTCGAAAGTTTGGTACTTTTGGCTCCCTCTATAGAGCGTACATATATACTAGTATACCTATGAACGATATTTGCAAGTAGATCATTGTGCTTTAGTCTATAGTCTACAGGAACTTTTTCATAATTTACGGTTAGTTTTCCAGTCTCTATACTGCGCTTATATTCTTCTGCAGGATGCGCACGGAACTCACGAGCAAACACGTCTAAGATTTTCTCGCCAACCCAACGCCCTTTTGTAAATGTCGTGAACGTGAAAAAGTAGGGATAAACCTTCCGAAGACCTTGAAAGTATACAAAATCATCAACAATATATTTATTTAATGTAAACGTTTTTACCGTTTTCAAAGTAATAAGATGTCTCATCATATTTTTCATCGGTCAAGCCAGGTCTTTTAGTTTTGAGGGACTTGGTGTCTAATTTGACTCTCTTTGCATCAAATAATTCGTCCGTGGAGATAGTATTACGTTTTTTGGGCAATGGTGATAGATCTTTCTGTATTGTTGATAGCACCTGTAAATAAATATTTATGTATATGTCGGATCCTAAGATTATTATCAATGTATTTTGGTCATGCACAGCCACATGAACTGACTACGAGATTGATCTCAGTGTGTTATCTTCCTACTCTCATTTGTCTTGTCTCCTTTACTTGGTTGTCCTTTATTTTCGATTGACTTTTATCTTATACATTTATATGAACAACATGAAATACACCGAAATTCGTATTTTAGTTGTAGTCAGCGATATCAGCCAAAAACTCCTATTTACAATTTATTTGATACTAGCGGTCCTAAGTTTAATTTTGAAATTCTTCTGGGTATACAATATTTTTTGCTTTATCGGCTCCCGCCATCTTCAGTTGATTTTCTCTCGTCCCCGCCGTTACCGAATTACCAACTTATCCAGTTGATCTTAGCCGGCTCAGGATCCTTAGCCGATCTCTCGATCCTTTTCTGTTGCTAGTGCGACTACATAAAATTAACTTTTCTGCTACTTTTTGATGTAATGAATAAACTTTGCAATCGGGAACGATGGTTTGCGCCACGTGTTCCGTACGTGATTGCCATTGCTTTTAATGATGGTAAGAGTGCTTTAAAGTTTTCGAAATGATAGAAAAAACGGTAGGCACAAGTATTTTAAAAGGCACGGAAAGAAAAACAATGGGCAGTACACTTAAGAAGCCAAAGCTTCCACTGCCACTGCATAAAAGCAGAAGGTACTGACACAAATAAATGCGGAAACAGCACGACCATGTAGCTGCCCGCCAACTTGACAAAAGTAGCTCGTTAGAACCACAATAATGACACTAGAATGATGCAGAGCCACCACCAACTCCAGCAAATAGCGTAGGAAGGTTGAAATGAGAAATAATTATGACAATTTCGCGGATAAAAATATGAAGGTAAGTAAAACGGGTGCTCATAGCACTAACACCCACAAAGGCATTAAAAAGCAGGGATGTTTCTAGATGCTTTTAAATGTCTTTGTTTCCATGAAAGACAAGGGTTTTAGTGTTACACTTTGTAACTTTTTTGTGAAAATGCTGAAAAGATATGTTCTGCAATATATTACCCCATCTTGAACATTTTTAAAGGCATACCTTTTCTCTCAAAAGATTTATACTACATTCGTGTAAGATTCCGAGTTAAGATCAGCTTTCTTTAACAATATTTATTTATTTTATCTTATTGTAAGCCAGAAATGCTTCGGACCTGGTGCTCGAGCATACACAAACTCGTCAAACTAAAAAATTTTTTTAAATTTAAGGAACATACATGCTATATAGAACGAGAATCGTGCAACAACTTGAAAGCTGAAGATTGGAACAATTTTGGAGAAGAGACCACCAAAAACCTGATCAATTCCAAACCAAAACGTTGCCTACACGACTACGTCTGTTCAGTCAGTGCAGCGAAGCCTTGTAGACGGCGGAGCCACGGTCAGAGACGAAGGACAGACCAAGAGAGAATTGAACTACATCGAACGAAAATTGAATTTGATTTTACTCCTGATGCAATATCTTGGTATTTTATAATCTTTGCTAATGCCCTCTTGGAAATATTTTGATTAATGGCAGTCGATATGCTTTTCGACTCACTGTTTGAATTTACATATTTATGTACATGTGTGACTGCAGATTTTATTTATATTGCTTACTTGAAGATCGCCATCGTGAGTGGATTTGGGGGACTGGGCTTCTTGATCGATCATGTTAGTTTCGACCGATTCTCCTATGGCAGAGTTTGTAGGAGGCACAGCTCGAATAATATTCTCAATGTTTACTGTTTCATCACCTTGTTGGATATGAGCATGCTGCACACATTTTGGATTTATCATTATTAAAAACCTCGCCACCACTTCAGTGCATCCGTATATCTTCAATGATTTGTTATTTCGCTAAAAAAATATTTGTGGCCACTACAATAAGTCTAAAAACAAATATCATTTGCACGTGCCACCTAGTACATACTTCTTACATAGTCGTATGTATGTATATAATCGTGTGTACTTAAGCGCATAAGAGATATTGGAAATGTATGTTTCATACTGTTAAAGCATGTACCCATCTATCATAATAATAATAATTTGCCGAGTGAATAATAGTTTTTAATTGTCGGAATAACTTCATTAAAATTTGTGGTCTACCAAAAATTGATAGGAATATTTTACTAAAATCATTGCATGCACGGGAATTCAAACGTTAAGGGTATTCATTTTTTTGCATTAATATTGACTTTCGCGGGATTTATAAAACGAAGTGGGTTAAAACTATTCACAAGTAAATAAAAATCATTTGATGAAAATGGCTCTTTACCATTTGGATAATCGAATAATTTACTGCGCATAGAAGGAAGCAAATCCAACACAGTAATGTAAATTCAGAGCATTGAAAGAAAAATGAAAACTAAACGGATTTTAATGCAATAAAACGAATCTTAATTGCAGAAGGAAAAAACAGTTAACTTATTGATGCATTAACATAAATTTGATACCATTATCAAGGCAATTAAACCCAACCTCAAGTTTTGCTTTTAAATAATTGATCAAAGTAACAATACTTTGCGTTTTCCTGCAATCAAGACGTTTCAACCGAAAACGAAAAACGCAATCGAAAAATACGAGTCTGTCTGACAGTTTAAATTTTGGAATTGGCAGTATGAAAATAAGTGTAGCTTGTGAAGATAAATTCAATAAAAGTTAGCATATGTACATAATATGTGTTATGTATTTTGAATAGCTCAGATGCTCGTGAACTTCTTTTGATAATTTTCGGTATTAAATAGCTTGATTCTGTACTTTACTTTTCAGAGGTTGAAGAGCTTTGTAAATTTGTTGAAACATACTTGACCTGTGTAAACACAGTGTCAGTGTCCCACAACTAATCCGAAACCACGGCAGGCGTTTTTCAATTTGTTCTATTAATTTTCTTCTGACTGATAAGTCTGCCATAAACCATCTATTTGCACACTCAACGACGGTGTTGCACCATTTCTCGCGCGGCCTCAACTGGGATGCAAGTGTGAGATCTTACTATCTTACCCTAATAGATTTCTTCGATCCTTAATCACTATTTTAACTTTTGAAACGTTATTGTCATCAGCTTTTTTGTGATAAATTAGTGGATGCTGCCACTGGGAACCGATGTTTCACATCAGTCAAAAAATCCCACCGTTCCCCCTAGATGTGCTGTGTGGGAAACGGGCTTAAGCGATAGATTTCACTCTGGTTAAACAAAAAAAAGTCAGGCCTTACCGATTGTATAAAACAACCTAAAAAAGTACAATTTTGTTACCCAGTTTAACATTCTGCAGAAAAAAAATGCCCCACAGGGAAAGAACGATCATACACTGCGTGCAAACAAAACGTGTGTTCAGAGCAAAACCGCACATCTGATTGTAATGAATTTCACAATTCTGAAAAGCTGATAAGTGGAGCTGTGGAGATAAAGAATTTGATCCCCGATCGGCAGTCTAACTATTTCGATTAAATAAAAACCCGGCGCACCAATAAAATAAAAATTCCGTAAATGCCATAAAAAATGCAGGCATGTAAAGGGCAAGCAGTGTATTTTAAAATTTTTTTTTAAATTTCATTCAATTTACGCAAACGTCGGAATTTTTTATAGATACTTACATATATTAGTTTGACTATTTTAGACTAGCGGATACGCATATTAGTAAAGTAATACAACTTTACTTTATTGTTTATATATCAGTGAAGAGGCGCCCAATTGGAGATCATGGTGTGGGTGTGTTGTCGGAAACGCTTTCTTCTGGTAGTTACACACATTCGTTTTCACCACAAGTCTAATATACCCCTATAACCTTCGAGTATTGGGTATAAAAAATGGAGGAATATTTTGTTTTTCAAATCGTTGCTTTTCTATTAAGATGTAAAAACCGCATCTAGTTACGCCTTGCATTGTGTATCGTGCGTATAATCGTAGGAATGTTACAAGGCTGATTCTAAAAAGAATTTGAATATTGGGTAAATTGTATGAAATTGGAGCGTTTTGAAAACCTTAAGGCAAACTTCACATCGAATCGAAACCTTTTTAAATTAAGATTAATTTGTTAATAATATTTTGGTAGGGGAGCTTAGCATTGCATGTCTGACTCTGTGACTTGTTTGTTTCTTTCTGGCACACAAGTCGTCGTCTAAAAGTTATAGGGCTTTCCTTAAAAAGCTGTTGGTCACGACAGGATAAAAAGGAAGGCTTGGCTGGAGGGCTTTGGAGTCCGAAGCTTCAACTACCCTTTTAGCTCGATCGGTTGTGCAGCAGTAATACAACCGTTTTTATACTCAGTACTTTCGATTAAATTTAATAGGGTTATGTCTATGGATCAAAGCTGGTTAGGTTATGTATAGATTACCTAGGAGATCTTAAGAAACAAAGCGCTTCTATGATTGTTCCGACCTAAAACAATAACTTGATATAGTATGTGTATGCTTAAAACTGCTACACTGTGCAAAGCAGCAGATATACAAACATCTGAAAGGGTATAAAAGGCTAGCCCGTCATTTAAGGCAACATTTAATGGCCACTGGCCGTAGCGCTGCTCCTGGAATAGGGGATGGTGCGTGCTTGTATACGAGAGTGAAAGTTGACGTTCGTTTGTGAAAACGAAGAAAGTGATTAAATCAGCACGATATTTTGTAGGTGTGCTCGCGCTCACCCATTAAATATTTTTTTCTATGTTTGTATGTATGTACATATACATATACGAAAAAACACTTGCAAACGTAATATGTACGTGTATGTATGTACATAAATGTGTTTACAAGAGGTTTGTATATACCAATGCATTCATATATAGGAGCTTTAAATTGCCTTTGCCTGACAAAAATGACGACATCGTGGTTTTACTTGGATAAGCGTTACTTTTTCAGCTGTTGTACGTTTTCAAGGAGTGCCTACTCCTAGGAAACCCTTCTATAAGGGTGGGAGAACTTACCGTTAGTAAGTTAGTAGTGGTGGTGTAACTAAAAATGAAATTCTTATTTTGATGATCCAAAACTTAAGATTTGATACATAAACTAGCTGACCCGCCAAACCATTTGCCGCAGTACTCTGAACTATTTCTGTTGCTCCAGGAACAGGCTTAAGCCAGCCGTTCAATAATTCTGGTGGTTTCTCAATTTCTGGTAGTTTCACTTTTCCTGATGCGCTACACATACCATCTGACTCATGTCTGAATTTGAGCGCAGGACAATGCGGACATTCTTTGTCCATAGCACCTTTCGGATGAACGAATTTTAAATTTGTAGCTCCCACTCGAATGCGAGACAAAGAAACGGGGCACATGTAAATGTTCTATGTACTTGTTGGCGTTGTCTTCCATTTTCTCTGTTAACGTCAATTGTCGATGTGAAGTTTTTTCATCTCGTGCCTAAAGGCTAGAGGTCTTAGGTAACTGTCAGTGAAGGAACTAAATTGATTCCTTCAAATATGTAAAAAAATGTTGAAAAATGTAGTAAAGTTATTCTTTACGACTCTGCGTTTTGGTTTTCTAGATACCAAATTTGGTTGCTCTAGCTTTTATAGTCTCTGAGCACTAGGCGTCAAACAAGACGGACAATCATTACGAAAAATGTAAGCCTTGGTGGAAGATAAAGGACCCGACTCACGTTAATTATTTCGTTTCGAGCTTATATTTCAATATAAAAAGCTGTAATAACACTCAACAGACCAAACACTTGGCAGATCCAAAGGTTGAGTTTTCCAAAGCCGAGTACTATGGGTCTTAATAAATGATTCATGTGACGATGGAAATTATACATCAATCTTTACTCTGCATTAATTTGTGCTACAATAACCTGCTGTAATGACAATTACAGGAATATAATACCATACAAAACCAAGACAACATTCAGGCTCCTAAATTAGCCAGTCCAGCAAAAATATGAAAAATTAGATGAAAACTCCCGACCATTGCACATAAATTGAGGCTATACATTTTTTTTAAATGAATTATATCTTTTTGTATGTATTTTCTTTTTTTTGTTTAATTTAAAAAGTATTATTTTTAAGATGTTTGTATATTGGCCCGGCTTTTGATGCTGGTCAAGAATATATATAATTTCTGGGTGTTACACATATTCCCTTACACCAAAAATCTAATGTACCCCTACACTCTTTGAGTATTGCGTATGCAAATAACTCCTAAATAGCAGCTGATGATATTGAAATGAAGTCTTGCCCGTCTTTTAAGTCTTTTTAATGTTTTCTGAAATGACTCCTTTTGTTAGATCGCGCTTTCCGCCACTAGAATGTTTTCCACTCCCCATAATATTACCACCAAATGATGAAATAAAGAATAAACTAACAATATGCTTAATCCATAGTAGCACATAAGTATTAGTTATTTTTTGACCAAAACTATGTATATTTATTGTGTAAATAAATGGTAGTAACCGACTCTCAAGCTTGTTACATCAAACATCGAACTTTTTGGATAGTTCTTTGGAAACTCTCCAATGTGCGCAGAGCAGTATCCAAAAAGTTCGAGAGCTCTCTTATGTTCGACGAACAGTCTCCAAAGTGTTCTGCATGCAAGGTAAGTAACGAAGTGAGGTACACCTTCAACAGATTAAGTTAGAAAAGTTTAAGTTTTAAAAAGAACGGAAATGTGATAAAAAAAAAATAGATTTGATAATATTTTCAAAATGTGTAAATAAGTTTAAAATGTGAATTATGCTGTGAAATTGAATTTTCTTTTTCGGTCTCGTCTGGTCTCGGCAATTTTGTGTGATTCCCCGATGTGGGAATAGGGGACTAATATTGCTTTAATCTTTCATATTTGCAAAGCTCTATACCTCATTGTAGCAACAACACAAATTTTCTGCCGAACCAACCACAACCGTGAGAGCAGGTTTGTTCGCACCGTTGCGGCTGTTGTGGATTATAAAATTTCAAATTGTAACTCACAAAAGTCTCCGGCCTCCCAGTAATCTTTCTGTCATAAGCACGTCGGGCGCGAACAACGAAACAACAGAAATTTAGTATTGTGTTAACTTGGTTGGTTAAAAAGGCCCGCGCGTGTTATACCAATAGCAGATTGACTTAAAATAGTATAAATATGACATAGTGATAGAATTATTAAGTTTAGTTGCATCGTGATATAATTTCATATTTGGACTGTTCACGGACCCAAAGAAACCAAAATAAACAACTAAATAGGATATTTTTTAAAATAAACCGATGATGTTTTGAGTGCAATTACGTCAAACAAAAGATATCCTTGTTTTTTCTTTTGATTAAATGTAAGCAACAAGTGAGGAATAACATCAAATAAAAATCTCAACATGCACATGCAGGATGTCCGAAGTCTAAGTGATCAAAAACTGTGTCATTGGCTAACATTTGGGGAATACAAATACATTTAAATTGTTTTTAAATAGTCCAGGTGCTGGTATACAAGTTGGAGCTATAGCCTATTTAAGTGAGCTTTAAATTCGAAAATAGGATACGCATTACAGTAAGCCATTTTAAAATACCAAACAAATTTACCATTCTGCATTACTCCCCACATAAAAAAGTTCTTAAATTTTCTTAGTACTGAAAAGAGCGTGTAACAATTCTTCTGTGCAACACAAAATGTATTTTGTGTATAATTTGAACGACAGTTGAACGATAATTTGTCTTAAAACAACTCGAAGCATAAAATCAGACGGTCAAAAAAGATTTTAAAAAATATTATAGGACAATAATAAAGTGTCTAATATTTACATATGTAGGCATTCGTACGAATTGAGGAAATAAGCGTATTCCTAGTTAATCACAATACACGTGTACACATATATATATTTTAGTTTGTAGCGAAGCTAATATTGAGTGCCTTGGCAAATCTATATATATACTTTTGTTTGTCTGACAGACTGACTGATTCATAAAAGCACAGCCAAAACTGTTAAACCCAGATATCTTTATATTTATGACAGCTTTGTTTTCGAATGTAGTGGCTCCCTCAGAAAGGATTTATGAAAAATAGAACCGCCAAGATGGCTGCTGGATTTACATTCGAATTAAAGCAACCCATTTATTTAATCATTTTGATGAGGGCTCCGATAGTTGCACATTTGACTTTTCATGGCATAGTAAGCCGATGTCATGTGCGTATTGTATTTGTTCTTTCATATATGTACATATGTACATATTTATTTACCTAAATATGTACCCCTCATTCTTGATCATTTTAGTTCTGTGCTTTCTTTCTTGGCAGACAGCATTCTGTCGCGTGTAATGTGCACGTCCGGAGGTCTAATATGTATATGTACCTCTGTATAGACACATAAATATGTACATACATATGTACCCGAAAATTCGACGTCGCCTAAGCTAGCACATATTCTAATTTAATACATGCGCACATTTATTTATTTGTCTGTACATATGTATATCGAGCACAAAACCCACTATACTGTGCCTACCGATTGTATGTACGAACAACAATATCATCATGTGTATATCCAGTGTCCATTCTGCTGCCACAATCCATTTGCCATCCCTTGCCAAATACCGTGAACGATCTGATCAGACAGGGCTCTCCTCAGAAGTCTGAATGGAATATCGATTTAAAATCCCTTACGTGCTGCTATTTGGCAGCTATCTCGCATGTTGTGATTTACTTATTGAGATTCAACCAAATCAAGTACAAAAATTATGACGGGCATCTATTTTAACACCTTTCCGCTAACAGAAACTACAAATAAGCTTGCCTAGATACATTCATTCATATATACATATGTACATGAAAACACAATATGTAGGGGTATAGGAGTGCATGCCCAGATACATATTAGTTTCAACAAATATTTAGAGTACAAATTAGATAATGTTTTATTACTTCTTAGATACAAATTTACCTTTTGCAGAAATTTTGTATATGATAATACCTACATACATATTTCAAAATTAATTTCAATCATTCTATTGTAATTATGCTACGCTATGTTCGAATTTATTGTTCTATAAATGAGGGAAACAATGTAACAGTGACTACTCATTTCAGAACTATTTATTTTTCTTTTAAATTGACCATTGACCATTAAATACTTTAATACAGAAGTACATACATAAGTGCAAAATCAAACAACTCCCGCTTACTTCTGAGAACGAGTTACAAAATGCAGAACACCCAAACGTCCTGCGCGTGGTATCTGCCATGGTCTCTGGCCGCGCAGCAGCATCAGCAGAAAATAATGCAAATACAGGCGCCTTTTTTGGATAAAATGGGAGCTTCGACGGTGGGAGGTATTTTCGCAACTCAGCCTCAAGTCCAGCAACAGCTCTCGCCAAATACAGCAGCTGCTCCTCCGTCGAACTATCAGCAGCCGACTTTGCATCCCAGTGCAGCCGCCGGAACCCACTTCCCAATGAGTTCCGCATATAATTTTGGGCCAACATTACTGAGTGCAACTCAGGTGGCGAGCTACCCAGGACAGCTAAATCCGTGTCCCCAGTCACACCCCCACAGCCACACACAAACTCATTTGATGCCATCTTCCATGTTCTCGTCCTTGCCTGTGGGTGCATACTACGCACCAGCACCAGGTGTCTCCGTGGCCCCACAAGAATCACTCCTGGCAACAGCTGGACAAGGATTGACCCATCAGACATCGTCTCTGTCCATGCCAGTACAGGCAGCCCCGCGAGCATCCTCGTCGGCATGCGCGATCGTTCAGTCCCTAAATTGTCTGCCACCAGATTTTCATCACCTGTCGTCTATTAACCTCAACATGAGCAGCGTAATTGGACTGAGGAACCAAGGATCTGCTCTTTCATCCATCAAAGTTGTACCAAATGTTGAAATGTTGATTAACAAAAAGGTAAGCTGCTCTCAAATATTTGTCATGACTAAACGAAAATAACCATTGTTATTAAATTGATTTATTATTATTGCACGTTCATCTACTAGCAACCAGTACTGCCTTGCACTTTGATACATTTTTGTCAGACTGGGATCTAAGGTGTAAATGCATTAGTAATAAGTTTTCTATAGTAGATCAACCATTCCATTCGTGTACAGAGTATTGCAACTATCAAGCGGACATTTATCGTAATTTTGGGTATTTCTACATTTCGATTTCGCTGTTCGGTAATGAGATAATTATTATAAGAAATTTGTAGCTTGCTATTAAAAATCTGTGCCACATACATACATACATACATCTTTGTTACTATGTTTTTACGTTCCGACTTTCCGCGTCGGTAAAGCGTAGTTTCGTTTTTCTTTCATTGACTGTATTTTGAAATTCGATAATTTCGTAAGCCAAATGGTGAGCGGACAGAATTACCTGTGTTACTCAAGGTCTTCAGCATAGCTAGACGCTCATCATAGTGGCAGTAGCTACGCTGTTTTCCCATTGTTAAGTGAATACTTCATGCATATACATATGCACGAGTGAGTGTAATTTACAGAGTCGAGTCGAATGTCTATTACTCCACACTAACGAGCGTATGACCATGAATATAAAGTAACTGAAACCAAAGGCACAATACCAGCATTTACAGACTCTGGCTGACAAATCTTCGAATGAATTCGTTTGTATGTACATACTATATGATGTTTAGTATTCTTCCATTTTACGAGTATTCCCGATCTGAAGAGAGTCACCGCAGAACCAAACTAGCAAGATTCCTTTTCTGGCTTTTTAAAAGCAGCTAAGAGCTTCATATAAGAGTACTCTTAAGATACATAAGTAGGTCCACACAACCGTTACTGGACAAAGTTGAGTTGATTGTCGCCAATCAGCTATTCTTGAAACCGGCTGCTTACAAAGAGTTGCACAGGCCCAAGTTAAATAAATTTTCCAACAAATTGCTGCACTCATTTGTTGAGTTAAGATAAATGCTTTGTATAGGCATAATACTTGGCTACATTTTAATGTAAAAGACAAATACTCGTACACCTGATAGCGAGGTCAAATGGTACTTGATGCTATTTGGTGCACTTGCTAATTATTTTCTTTTTATTTCACATGCAACCGTTTGGATAGTGTGGCTTGGGTTACATTAAATATAATGTACGAATATGTGTCAACTCTGATATGATTTAGAACAGATGCTTCCGACACACAGAAAAACGTTGAGCAGATATTGTAATGCTCGTTTTTCGGTTTCTAGTCTCTGAGTTTTTGTTACCTTTCTAAAATTTTCGGCTCGTAATAGTACTCATAGTACTCATGTACTCTTCTGCCGCGGAGAAGAGCCCTGCATGTTACTCTTGTGGGCACAGAAGTCCAGTAGAACGAAAACCTTTTGCTGGTAACCCTCCTAGCTGTGCCCTTTCCTTATAAGGAAACTAGATTGGGTGCGAAAGTTTAATTATTCCAGCTAGTTAACACATTTCTATCAATTTGGATCCAATCCAATGTTTATATGAATATGAATATCTGCACATATGTGTTTCTGTGTTTCTGTGTTTCAGTGTGCCTTCAACATTGATTATTATCAAACTAAAATAGATATCATTCTAAATACATATGTACATATTATGTGTGTTCTTGAAAACAATACTGTGGGTTGGAGTCACGTGCTGTATTCCAGACAGGGGCATTCGACCGTCCAATAGCACCTTGCGTAACCGAGTGATGAGAAGGCGATGAAAGAAAGCGTGTCGCAAGGCTCTTGCACTTTGTCACTGCCCCTCTTCTGCTCCACGAGGTAGCCCCAGCAGCCATGGTGTGGGCGTACTCATAAATATTATCAGTGGTCTGCTGGTGCTAGAATATGACACGATTTTGTAGCGACAGACCGAAATTATCAAGCATGCCACCGGCATCCACTTTAAAACTACTACCAGAATGAAGAAACACTGATTCTTAAAAAGTTATAGACGGATAAATACCTAGGTGTAAATATACAAATTGAAAACGAATGGTGGTCGAAGCTTTTGGTACCCTTGCAAATCGAACCAGCCAGTTTAATTCAAAAAACCCTTTACATTGGTGTTACCATAAATATCTGAATCTTTTAATTACATTCGTAACATTTGGTATCCCCAAAAGTCGGAAAACACAATGCACTCTTTCGTCACACTGTGAATTGGATATAATTGGATTTGTTTTTTATATACATATTATATAGTATAAGTTATCTCTCGACGTATACTAAAAATCTATAATACATTAATGAAATAATGTGTGTATGTGGCGAATATCGCTGGCAACAGGTCTCTGCAGTTGAATGATTTAATTAATTTGTATACCAGGTACTCGAAGAGTGTAGGGGTATATTCGATTTTTGGTGAAAAGGGCTATAAGAGCTAAACCAACCAAATTTTGTGTTCAGACTTCTGTGATATGACACTGGATACATTTTTTTTTTTACTTTGCCACCCCTCTCCTACAAAGCACAGAAGTTTGCGTTTAAATAACAAATATTATACTGACTGAGAACCGGGTATAAAGCTAGATCCGTGGCAAAGGGCGCTCGGCATCGTTTCCATAGATTTGTACAAACGATACCTTAACTGCTGAAACTACAGAGTGTTTGGGTTTGAATATAGTATGTAGTATGTAGTTTCGTAGTAACAACACGTTTGCAACGCAGAGATGGAAGGATCTCCGATCTTGCATAGGGTATATCTTTTTTTGTATGTATTGTTTGTGTTTTTTGTTGATCCGCCACACCAGCCATCCAAGAACCATTTCCCGTTTCGACGTAAACTAATCTGTAATCCGGCTGCAAACAGGCAGATTCCCCACAGAGCCGATCACTGTATGAAATTGCTATCGTAGGAAAACTAGTCTACGTTAAAGAATTTCCTGTGCGTTTTACTTAAATCGGCTTAAATAGAATGAAAACACTAATGTGCTGCCATAGCGATCAGACGATCGGAAACAAAAGTATTTTTTGGAAATTGAAATCATGATGCTCCTTCAAATACTAGTCTGGCCTAAATGTATTATTACATTTGTAGTAAAAAAAAGTACGTTTGTATGTGAATGTCTCATTGTCTGCTAATCAAAAAACTTTTACAGATAAAATGATTTACGCGTAGTCAGTGCAAGAATCTACATATATTTGTACATACATATATGTTAGCTCATAATACTAGACGTTCATATGAGGTGCTCGTAGAGTACAAGTAAATGCCATTAGTGACCCCATAAAGTAAATACAAATACACATATGTATGTACGTATACATATATCTAGTATCGGCAGCAGTGGGGGTTTTTTTTTGTTTCAAATTGGTTCCTAATTTATGAATATCTTATATAAGAAGTACCGACTACTGCGTTCTTACTTGGTTATTTACTTCGTGACAGTACAGAAGCCCATCTAAGTTTAATATGGAATATGTACATACATTATCGGGTTTATGTGTATCTTTTGTCCATTGTCGTGCACACGTATTTTTACATTTATGCTTACATGTTCATGTAAACATATATCAAAAGCATTGTAGTTGTGAGATTGCTTAAGGGGATTTGACCGCTAGGCTGTGTCGGCCGTCATCTTTCGTGGTATGTGGCTCTCCCGCGCGGCTTTTCAGGCATGCAGCATCTTTTCATCATTCGTTGGGCGCACTGCCAAAGAAAACAAAGAACAAAAATAAAATAAAAACGTCAGCGGATAGTCGCTCTGGGAAGGCACCCCGAACACATAAGCGTCAAAGGCAAGTAGATATTCTCAAGTGTACAAGTCTATATACTATTTGTAGAACAATATTTAGGTATTCTAATGAGCTTACGTAACATGAAACACTACGGTAACATTAGTACTCGGCCATCTTGCCACAAAGAGGCATTTCGATCGATTGTTCTATAAAGAAAGCCATATCTAATGGTATTTTAAAATCTGGCAAGCAAGAAATCTACCACTCAACAGGCGCAGTTTATACCCTTTATGAAAATATGCATTTTTGGATATTCCATGTGGCCGTAACATATTTCTTTCACAAAGAGTCAAACAAGACGGACGGACAGACAGACAGGCAGACAGACATGGCTATATCGACTGGGCTATTGATAGGATATTGATCCTTTTGACTTCGTAGAATCGGAAACGCTTCTTTCTGGGTGTTACACATATCTACTTTCATCATACATCTAATACACCCCTATTCTATATTTGAGTATCGGGTGTTCCAAATGGCGAAGTGGCAATTCATTCGCATGCAACAAGCGCACAAGCCACAGCAAGGACGATTACGATTTCTTCCCAGTAATTATATAACTCAGATTTTATGTCCAGTGTCCACGGCGGTTCCATCACATCCCATTGCCACAGTGACCGTTTTCCGAGATGGAATATTTTGAAAACAGATTGCTATTTACGACCATCAAAGTGCATAGCTATATATGTACATAGGTTTATGCAATTATTTTGTATGTTTATATTAGTTTTCTGTCATTCCCACTATAAGTAGTGCTTAGAGCGATTTAATATTTTAGCGACAAGCAACATGTTTGGAATCGATAAAACATGCACACCACAAAAATTATGTTTGAAAAGAAAAATTTGAGGTCGAACATTTGAAATCATCTTCATGGGGAGCCTCAAGATGAAGCTATTGAACTTTGATTTACGTTATTCATTTTTTATTTTAATGCAGTCTTGGATTAACAGCACAGGAATTACAAATTTAATTTGTTTGCCAGTTTTATTCCACCCTAATGTACGTATATTAAACATGCATACGTATATGAGATGGAAATACATCCAACGAATTTCGATTGCGTTAACTATTGGTCGTGGTTTCTTTCTTTTTCCTCTCCACGTATTCAGCAACGAATCAATTTGTGCCTTTTTCCGTTTCCGCTTTATGCAAACAATATAACACAGTACGGAAAACGATTCTTTGATTTCTTGTACCTTTTCCGAGCTTACCAATACTTGGTCAAAGTCGGAACACTTAATCACATAGGTGCTATAGTAAGGAAATATAGATGCATGCTTAAAAGCATATTCACTTAAAAGTGTATCCATTGAAAACAAGTATACAAAGAGCTAGTTAATTGATTACTAAAAAAATTAGTCATTGTATTCATGATGCTATTTTCTCTTATTTATCTTACAGATTACATCAACCAGGGAGGTCGAAAACGAGAAAGTCAAAATACCAGAAAAAAGGAAAACCGATAATAGCGATACAATTAAGGATTTAAAAAAAGTAGGACATTGAAAAATATTTATTTTGATTGGATGTTTATAACGCAAAGAAAGAGTCCCCAGCAGGTCGGCGATTATATTTTTTCTGCGTTGCAAACGTCTAATGAAAATCATAATAAACCCTCTGTAGGCTCAAAATAATTATATTTACTTTTGAAGGCCAAACTTGAAACGAAGGCTCTGAAGGCCAAAAGACCCGGATTTACGGACGAGCGATATCAAGAAACGTCTTACTATATTGAAAATGGTAAGGTATTTCTTGACGAATGGAATTAAATGGTTTGGACATATATAATAATCATTAAAAAGGTCTTAGAAAGGTCTACCCGTACTACTTCACCTTCACAACTTTCACAAAAGGACGATGGGTGGGAGAAAAGATTCTGGATATATTTTCACGGGAGTTTCGCGCACACCCTTCTGAAGAGTACGAACGTTGTATCCAAGCAGGCACATTGACAGTTAACTTCGAGAAAGTCCCTATTGACTATCGATTAAAACACAACGATCTTCTCGCTAATATAGTTCACAGGTAATTTTGCATTAACGGTTCAACTACAAATACTTATAGCACCGAAACTAAAATAGTTTCCGTTTCTTTACAAGTAGTGTTTTTTTAGTTACTGATAACACAATTAATTATTATAGAAAAATTCCACGGTCATAATTCAACATATTATCAAAAATAAAAAGACCAAGGTCTGGCTATCTTCGACCCACATAGTATATACATACCTACAATGTACAATATATCCCTGAAGTTAGCCACCCAAACATCAAGACTAATCCTCTTTCAAACAAATCTTACTGGAAAAGCACACGTTAATTTTAATATGAAAACGATTGAAGCGAGGAGACTAATTTACATATAGACAGACTGAAATCGTCGTTATACCGCACGTACTTTATTTATAATGTTATATTTATTTAAATGGTTCGGGTACATTCTCACAACTTTTGTGCATTATCAACATCGGACCAATTAATGGACCTGTTACGGGTGTATATTCCCAAAATATTTGTAAAATGCCCGATAACACTATGCAACACTACGAAATCTTTTTTTTATCTCAGGAATAGTAGAAAAAATGATTTATTCTGTTTTCATATTTTATTTGTACAGCCATTAACTATGCGCCGTTCGGGGTATCGTTTATAAAAATCTATGGGTAAACAGTTAATGATTAACCAGATGCAAAATACTTAGGTCATGTTAAAAAAGCACTACCACTTTTTTATTTTTTTTTAATTACCAATTTTTTTTTTCAATAAAAAAGAACTTGCCCAGAAAAAATCACAATTTATTAAAAATTTGTAAACTTCCAAATCTATCAGAAAAAGTTTGGTTCGTGGAGTAAAAAAAGTTTGATTTTGTTGCCTGGTGTTATTAAAACAGGTTAGTTAGGTTAGTTTTTTCTCTTACAATAATAATGTTTTATTTATTTGGCCCTATGCACCGCATGTAATGATTATGTATCTAACGATTTATGGCTATACTTGCAGACACGAAGTTCCTGTGACATGTCAACCAATTAAAATTGTGCATATGAATGAGGACCTTGTAGTTGTAAATAAGCCTGCATCAATACCTGTAAGTGGCTTTGACGACTGCCATCTTAAATACGCAAATAGTTTCAGCGCTGATCATTTTATCTGAAACTTTATTCTTTACTTGAGCTTTTTTTAACATTTAAATAAATCTAACAGGCTATCTAATCTTCAATACTGTTGTTGCCACAGATTTTCGTCCTTTGTGAGAACGGAAGAGGATGGGGCGAAATTTTGAAATAAACTTGTCAAGGTTCGATATCACAGGAGTGTGGATACGAAATTTGGTTGCTCTAGCCCTTATAGTCTCTGAGATCCTTGAACTCACATTTTACCATATGCAAAGCCGACCATAAAACCTTTGTGTTAGAGAGAGACAGAGCGAGAGAGAATGAAATTGTTTTCTTGATTCTGGCTATAATAATTATACGATATGGTTCAGATTGTAGATTTAGAAGATATAGTCATCCTCTACGATTCTGCGTTTTCTGTTTTCTCGTATCTTTGAAATTGTGGACACAGTGTAACAGTGACATATCACAGAAGTCTGGATATAAAATGTCGTTGCTCTACCTCTTATAGTGTTTGAGCACTAGGCGCTCATAGGGACGGACAGACAGAAAGGGCTCAATCGACTCGGCTATTGTTGCTAATCAAGAAAATATATGATCGAGAATTCCTTCTGGACGTTACACACATCCATTTTCACAACAAATCTGAAATTCTAGTTGAGGCTATTTTATTCAAGCGCAAATAGGATCAACAACACTGGAGGACCAAGAAAAACTTTTTTACTGATTCAAACATCGAATAGTATTATTCCTATGGGAATTTCAACGCTAAACATGACTCAAAGTTCCAAAAACCCGGTTTAAAGTTTGAACTGTCAACGAACTTACTGGAATCGAAAAATCCATTAACAATTTTCATATAGCCTCTTGTTCATGTAGGCACTTTTGGAGGCCTGATTCGTGTTCAGCGATTAAAACCATATGAGAATATTCTTGTCCGATGTTTCATCCATTTTCCGTGTCGATCAGAGTAATTTGAGTATTGATAGAAAACTAAGTTATTTTGCTTACAAAACAATATGAATAGTTAAATGCTAATGACATTTATAGAAAACCAATTAACATCTCCTTTTCTGTATATGTATGTATCTTTAGGTCCACCCTTGTGGCCGCTATAGGCACAATACTGTGGTTTTCATACTCGCTAAGGAATTTAACCTCAAGAATCTGCGCACAATTCATCGGCTTGACCGGTTGACATCTGGCCTATTACTGTTCGGACGGAGCCCAAAGAAGGCAAGACAAATGGAGCAGCAAATTCGCAATAGACAAGTGGAAAAAGAGTATATATGTAGAGTGGAGGGAATTTTTCCAGAGTAAGTTAAAGAAAACGATTAAAAGTATTTAAAGGCATCTTTAATTCCTTTTTTTCTCTTTAATTTTTAGCGAAATCGTGGAATGTAAGGAGCCCATTGAGGTAGTAAGTTACAAAATTGGCGTGTGTAAAGTATCGCAACGAGGGAAAGATTGTACCACCACTTTCCAAAAGATTTCACAAAACGGAAAAACTAGCGTTGTACTGTGTAAACCACTTACTGGAAGGATGCATCAGATCCGTGTACATTTGCAATATCTAGGTGAGAGAAATCAGTGATCAGAGCCCACGAGTAATTAGCGTTGAACTAACGAAAATATATTTTATAGGCTATCCAATTCTTAACGATCCTCTATACAATCATGAAGTCTTCGGCCCTTTAAAAGGGCGTTTCGGGGATATCGGTGGAAAGTCAGACGATGAGCTTATAAGAGATCTCATTAACATCCACAATGCGGAGAACTGGTTGGGAATAGATTATGATTCCGATATATCTATATTTAAGAGTTCTAAGGACGAAACAGATGGGGAGAGCCTGAGCAGCGACCAAACTTTCGGTTGGTAAATAAATATAGATACATATAAAAAAACGTGTCCCCGCTCCTCTCAATTAATAATGCATATATTTTGTATTTTAAATATAATTGTAGTTGTTCAGCATAGCGACGATGACGTGGGCCTAAATTCACGCGAAACTACTCCGCCTTGCATAGAACCTTCCCGAGCTGAAGTGGGCGCTAAAAAATTAGAACCTCCCAACTTTCCAAAGGAATTTTCATGCACTGATCCGAAGGATCCTACCGAAATTTCGTCAGTACTGCAGGCACCCGATACTATCCTCGCTGTCGATGGTAGCAATGTAGATGTTGGGATTAAGCTAAATAAAATCACAACAGATCCGCATTGTTATGAGTGCAAAGTGCACTACCGTGATCCAAAGTCTAAGGACCTTATCATGTATCTGCATGCCTGGAAATACAAGGTTTGTTTGAATGCAACATTTTATTCCCACACAAGTTATTTCTCAATAAATAAATCACGTTTTTTTTCAGGGTCCTGGATGGGAGTATGAAACTGAATTTCCTGTTTGGGCTCGCACAAATTGGGAGAACTCAGAGTGTACTTAAGCAGCAATAATTAATTTCATATCTGTTCAAATAACCTTGTAGAGTTTTGACATAATGTTGGCAAAGCACAGAAGAAAGTATCTTTAATCACACCTAGTACATGACATCTGATAGGGATGGCAACATGTGTCCGTCTGTCAGCTTCTAGCTTCTATCAGTTAAAGTTATCTAGCTGAAACTTTTCACACACATCCCCATACAGTTAGTACCGCCGTCAAGAACCGTCTAGATACAATAGACAAATCGAAAAATATGTTTTTGTGGGAGGAAATTTCCTCTGTTTATGAATATATATTATCATGTATTTTTATAGCCGAGTCAAATTGCCTAAATATCAGATGAATGTATTAGCTGATATTGCAAAGATATATCTGCAAAGGTATTAAATGCTTCGGTCCCCGAAGTTAGCCTTCCTTTGATTTTTTAAGTTTATATACATATGTACGTACATTGTACATAATAATTTACGGTAATCTTAGAGATACATAAATATACATATGCAAATGTATTTGAACTAGTATGAATTTAGTATATATATACATAAGTACATATGTATACCTTGCAACTCTAAGTCAGGGGTCGGCAAGCATACTTCCACATGCTTTTAGTGCGTTTGTGTGCGTAGACGGTCGGCAAAACGGATAAATGTATTGATTCAAACCAGTGTTATGCATCTGTACGTTAGCGCCAGCACACCTTCCTATGCACATAAGATAGGGGCCTGCCGACAGCTGCTCTTAATAAACATGAATGGGTCCAACTGGGTCCAATAAGCCAATAGAACAAAGTTAACGGAAATTCTAAATATTAGAAAATTCAAAATGTGCCTTTATGATTGAATGTACATATGTGTTGATACATTTTACAATTGTATTGTATTTATATATACATATACATATATAAAGACATTTGTTTATAGTCAATGTGGGTATAAAAAGCTCATTGATATAATCTGCCAGTTTACTTTTGCGTAGGCATTACAAATGATACTTATCTTATTTTAAAACCCCAGAAGTTTCAAATAAACCAAAAAGTGGATGAGCTGAAAAGACATGTAACACAATATCAAGCTTTTATTGCAGACGATATGCAGTCACATACTATATACATTGTATATGTAGATTATAAGGTATGGCCAGTTTCTTAATTTCACCGACTACTAATTTTGCCTCAATGTAATCTTAGCAGAAGAAGCATTATCTTTAGTTTCATTTTAAAGGCAGCTCTGACCATTAATAAATATTTTGGATCACAACGCCACGCCAAGTCGATATAACTCTAATATGTACATATTTCTTTGTTTTTCTGTTTGCCCGTCTATTTCTGGGAAGTAAAAGCAAAAACGTAAGAAATTGTAGTTTCATATAGATTCAGTAGTTTTCGCCCCCAAAGATATCCTTTCTCGCTTATTAAAAATTCAATCAACGATACTAGATGAAAGCCAATAGAATACTAATAAAAGGTGAATAGTCAATTTTAAATTAGCTACATCCTACATTTATAAGCATTAAGCAATATACATAGTAAAATAATAAAAGATATTAATAAAATTTCACAATCGTTTCTTAGAAAAATCCTGTTCAGTTTGTGTATTCTTTTTCGTCCATATCGTAGTCTAAGTAAAATTCCAAAATGCGCCTTTACTCTATTGTGGTATACGAGGGTTGCTATTTATATTTATCGACTTCAGGAACAGGTTTTAATTTGTTTGAATTTGAGTCCATGCCAATGTGAACATTCTTTGTCCATATTACCAATTGGATTGGTGAGCGGATGAGGAAAATTCAATTTCTGGTTCAAACTCGAATAACAATTTACGATGATCGCACTGGGAAATATGTATGTATGTGCGAAATATGGATGATTGTGCGCGCATGGATCCAAAATTAGTCTTGTGCCTTGTTCCCAACAACAATGTAGAAAGGTTCGATAATCAAAATAGGTCGTATGATATCGTATAAAGAGCTCGTGAATGCCGGAAGGCTTATGGTGCTTTAGTTGCTTCCGTGGATCTTCAGCAGATTAAACTTACTTTAGCACTGTCTCAGAGTGCAGTGCCTTTGATGTACCTTTGGACAATGATAGCTAAGGCCTTGAGAAAATATAAGTGAGAACATCAAAAATTACCAAGAGGTGTACTATTTTATGGTGACGGTGTTAGCACAGGGTTCTAAGGAGTTCTTCGATGCTGGCATACATTGTGGTCCCTAAATCTTTCAACACGCGTTTTTTACACGATTTTTATTGGTCTTTCAATTTCCTTGAAACTGTGGGATATAATAGTCTCAAAAAAGATTCTTAAAATTCAAAAAGTCGTTTCAAAAATGTTCATTGCCGGCCGGACTGCGCTCACATTAAAATCTCAATATCTTAAAACCATTAAAGTCTCCAAAGAAAATTTTAAAAAATTCTCCAAATGAACTATAAAGTAATTAAAATATATTTTTTTGTATTTTTATGGACAAATTTTGTACTATTTTTTAGTCTAATATTTTAGACTACGTATATTTAAATACATCGTCTGCAAGTTTCATTCACATTCGTCTTCCCGATTAGGAAATATTTATTTTTGAAAACACGCTGCTGTTACTCAAAGGGAGGTAGCAGGCGCCATTTTGAAATTTGTTGTTTTAATTTTAACAATCCTAAGGCCACAGTTCCACAGTTTCAAGGAAAAATACATAAGACAATTTGTGAACTGCTTTAGGTTTCATGGTGTCCCGCTCAATGTAACGCCGCGGATCTTGCTTGTTCGTACCCCATTTCCTGTTGTACAAATTGCTTAAGCACATTCTTTATGCATTCTAATGGAAGCAAGGAATTCACGTATCGAAAAAGTTTTCATGCTTAATACATGCATTTTTTGCTTCCATTAGAATGTACATACATGTGTAAATAATAGAATTTGGAGTTTATTTTCATTATTTTTTGTGAAAAAAAACACTTTTGAACCATACCTTTTTGTAATCGGTTCTACAGAGTCCGACCGGTCGTTTATACACGTGTACGAAAGAAGCTGCAGTCTGCTATGACGCTACCGACCTCCGATCTACACACACGCTTTCGTTTATTGTATACATACATATGTACAAACATGCCTAATTGTGTTGGTCAGAAAATGCGCAAACTTCTTTTGAACTTACCGTTTCTATAAAAATGAATTGTTAATTTAGCTTGTGCGCTAATTAAACATTTCACCCTATAATTCGTTGCTCCATGTTCCTTCCTGCGACCCAACATTTGTACGTACATACATACATAGTACATCGTTTTGCCCATACGTATGTATGTAAGAGTATGTGTTCGCAATCCAGCATATGAAATTCAAGCTGGAGATGGACTGGTTCATAAGGCACGGACATGTGAACACGAAAATAATACGATTTATGCGGTATGTACTGAAATGTTGTTTAATTGAATGACAAGGTGGAACATTTTTAACTCTGGTACAAACAGTAGCGTATTTTTATTGATTTTAACTGAAAGGTGATGCCGGCCTACAAGTGCCTTTCAATTCTGCAATTGTATACAAGCTAAGATAATGGCGATTTTTTAGTTTTAGTCTCACACAACACAAATTGTACCAGGAACTGTGCTGTGCTCTCCAGTCTCTAGTTCAAGCATTATAAATGCAGTGTGAGTAAATGTATGCAGACTTATAGTATTTTAATGAAAAAAGTTTCACCCTCCAAAGTTGGCAGGTTATATATGTATGTATGTATGTACATGCATATGTACATATTAAATATGTATGTATGTATGTACTTACATATAAATACAACTAGTTCAACTCTGTGCTTATTTTAATTTAGAATTGGGCAGACCAAATACAGTACGGATACATCACATCTTCAAGACCTCTCCAAGTCGGAGGTCGTCACCTTTTTATAGCCGGTACTTGGAGTAAAATTCAGAAGAAAGCGTTTCCGACCACCAAATGCATAGATACTCTTGATCCGTATCAATAATTAGTTTTTCTGTCCGTCTTGTTTAAAGCCTAGTTCTAAGAGCTATCCACTGAATCAAGTTTGCTTCCAAATTTTCTACGCCCATAACCGCCCCAAAAAAAGCGTAAATCTGTGGCATCCATAATAATAATAATGTAATTCTAGTAGCTACGCTACTCGGGTCTCTCTCTCACACTTTTTCTAGCGGCATTAAATTACACATTTTCAAACTAAAAAACTGCAATTTTGTTTCAAAAAATAAAGAATGGAACAGATACTTTTATTAAAATTTTAAATTGGTTTTATAAGCTCTGCGAGCAGCTAAAGATCAGATTAACATAATTAATCATCGTGCTTATTGCGGACGTTTCCGGTTTTATATAGCGAATAACCATCATGGGAATGAATATTATGTGTCAGCTGAAAATTGGTGCAGAGCTTTTCGTGTTTTTAACAAACCAACAGAGCATTTTTATATACATATATAGATATATATATTTATACATTTTCATGTTTATAAAGGTTATTAATGAATTAGAATTAGTCAAGGCCTAATATCCCGACAAATATACAACGAAAGTACGAATCTCCATTGGGCTTAACTCAATTATATATTTTTTATCATCACTATCCGATATAAAGGAAATATCTACACCTTTAGGTCCTGAGGCTTGGTCATCTTTATGTGAATCGAAAGGCCCTGTGTGAACATTCCGCTTAAGACGGTTACTTTCAGCACCCAACTGTCCAGATGGTAAAGCTTCATCAGAATATTTTACACCCAGAAACGGTTTTGCCGCACTTAATAAGTGCACAGTCTTTGCTAATTTTGAGAATGTTGCATATGAGTTGTATACCTCTTCCTCGGAGTCAGGTACAAATTGCAATCGTTGAGTTTCATTTAACCAGGCATTTCCATCAAGAGTTGTTTCACGCATATCGTCAATTTTAAAAGTACTTAGGACGTCCTTAACATTAATCTGTACGGATCTAGAATAATGTACATCTTCTCCTTTCTCCATTATATGTTCAAATCGTACAAGGAGTTGGTTTAGGTGCCATGGTTCTAGCGTAAGTAAATGTACGGATTTTGGCAAAACCACCGAGATTCCATTGAACTAAAAAAAATGTGTGTGAAGTCAATAAAATTTAATAAATTTAATTAATACTCACTATATTTCTAAAAGATGTGCGCCATTCTTCTGCATTGTAAGACTTCATATTGCTAAAAAATTTCCATGTAGGCAACAAGCTTTCTATTTGCACTATCCGTTCAGTAGCTTTTAGAGAAATACCTTTGCGAGTACCGGACTGACCAAAGAAGAAAAGATGCTTGCCTCGTGCAATTAAACCTTTGCCGTGCTCAGTTTCATTTAATGCTTCTCCCACACCAAATGCGTCATCGTGTAGCAAACGACGATGTACCATCAATTCTAGGGCCCCATCTTGTAGTGAGCTTCCTCCTTGGGCTCTGTCCGTAAGAATTGCCATACGCGCCGTTGTGTCCTCCAAGGTAATTTTTGTTGTCACAGGGTAGTAATTACCTGATACTTCTTCGTTCAGTTTTACGTTCCATGTATCACGGCGGTTTCGCTGTCTCTTTATCATTTCACGACCTTTGAGTTATTAAATAGAAATCAAATTATTTGGAATTAATAGAGGTTAGTAGTATAAATAATTTATAATTTTATAAATACTTTTTATGCTTGAAAAAAAAAACAAGTTTAAAACTGTAGAATTGTAGTTTTGAGTAGGAAATGAGAGTCGAATGAAATGAGGATCTAATCGGTGTAGTTATATGTTTTTAATCGTCTGTACCGAGTACTTGTAAACTTACTCCCGTAAAGAGCTCAGTCAATGGAACTGAAGTTGGATTCCTTCCAAGGAAATATATATCTCTTTTTCTCTTTCATAGCTCAGTAGGATTAGGTAAAAATTCGTACACGCGATTGGTATGGCTAATTGTATTTGTGTTAAATACTATTATTTTTATCATAGAGTCTCACCGTTTGAATCGGTGTAGAATATGCCCGCCGACTCGATGCCAGAGTTAAAGCGGGTAATGACTTCTTTGCCAACGTCATCATCAATTGGAATTGGGCCGATTAACCACTCGAACTCAGCATAACTTTTCGAGCGATATACGCGCACTACTTGACTTATCCAATCATTGAATTTCTGATGGACCTCTTGCACAATTTCGCCTCTGTATACTTCAATATCTACTTGGTTAGCGACGAAGTGAATTTTATTTTTGTTTGGCCGGAAGATGTAAGCTCCAGATGATCGATTTAGAAACTCCGCATTGTTTCCCTTAGCACCTTCATAGTACAGGAACTCTTGGCTAACGATTCGTGTTAAGCCATCAGCAGTTACTTCTGAGAGAAACCCATTAGTGTCAAAGCCTAATTTAATATACTGCATAAAGAAAAATTACTAATAAGATCTAACGGTAGATAGCTTATGATTAAGATTTTCTTACTTCGTTTCCAATTACTGTTAAACTTGATGTTTTCTTTGGTGAAAAACTTGGCCTGAGGAATCCTTCAGAAGAATTTAACTTTTCAATATAATAAGTCCTATATCCCAATGGTGGAAGGTTAGTCGCGAAAAATACCAGCTCATACTGTGCATTTGAGGTTCTGTTTTTCATATTCATTACTGCGGAGGGTATTGGTAACAGCTGAATTTCCATAGTCACACCTATAATTTAAAAGATATCGTTTGATCTTCTGTAAAAAATTTTTTTTGATTTTTATCACCATACCCTTATTATCAATTACTTTATAATTGTGGTGTGCAACGGGTACTCTCACATATTCATCGGTAAAATGAGCCAGTGGATTGTAAAGCGTTAATGCAAATCTTTCATTTGACTCGGATACGGGACAAGAAGTGATGTTCAGCAAGGGACAGATTTTAAAATCAAAAATATAATCAGAACGTGTCTCACTTGTACTCGCACTTGTCTCCGATTGTACGGATAATTGATTTAGCACAGATCTTGTGTTCGCAGCGCATGCCCTGATCCCGACACTTAAGCGTTTTGCATAATCTAACGCGACCTTTTGCTTTTCTGTGCCGGTTATTGCATCATGGTGCTGCATGATGCCAAGTGTTTCGCGCATAAATGTCAAATGAGGCTCAAATTCAACTGATTTTTTTGGAGCAAGTGCACTTAGTTGCTTGCATACTTGCAAGAAATGATTACCATCCCGCTCAAAGCGCTTTATCGTTGGTCGCGATGTAAAGTATCCCGTCCAATAAGCATGAGGGTCAGATGCGTATGGAAAGAAGTCATCACTCTTCGTGGGCCATGTAATGCCGGACTCGTGCAGCGACTTGAGATAACAAGATGGGGTCGAATAAATTAAGTTTATATTTGACCCATTCACCTGACGCGCATTCGCATACCTGTGAATTAATAAAAAAAAGATTATCTGCCTAAAGGTTTTCCAACTCGCTAAATTCAGTGATTGGTATACTTTGTTAAGGAAAGCCCCTGCCGTTTAGTTACTTACTTTATTAATTTGTCCATGTTTGTATACCACATTCCGGCGTTTTGGTAGTGAAAATCCTCACCCATAGTAATAAGTAAGTTAGGTGTCCGATAACTTTCAGCCATTTTAGTAACAAAATCAAAGAAAGCATCTACCTGTTTATACATATATACATTTACACATAAGGGTGGCAATGATTGCAATTAATTTTTTCACGTTCTGACAAAACATTTTGGACAGAATATTCTTATCTGAGAGGCTTTCGTTAACAATAGACGGTGCACATAAAAACTAAATTTCAATTACCGTATTAATTTGTCGAGATTTTTGTAATAAACTTGCGCAGCCTGATATGTAAAGTCACCACCCATTGTTATAATAACATTGTCGGTTCGGTAGTATTTGCTTTGTGTTTTGGCGTAATCCAAAAACGTATCGACCTAGTGCAATCAGTAAAGCAATAGGAAACCGAAAAAAAATTGCAAAATGTTGAATACGTTGCCTCTTGTAAGTGGTAACACCAAAAACAGCATATTTGGAATCTCACCCGTTCTTTAACATTGTTATCGGGGCTATGTTTTCCATCTATTATGGGATCATCACTGCACAGAATATCAAAACAAAATCCATCCGGTGCTTGGTAATTGTTGTAAAGGGCACCAGTGAACAGATCAGAGGACTTTCCTATTTTGAGAGTGTATACGTTACCATTTTGTAAAAAAAAAAAAACAGATTAAGAAACAAATTAATAGTAATAAAACATTATAAAGTAATAAAAAAAATTCAAATACCCAAATTTGCGGATCCGTGCCATATCATTTCAGCGTTCTTTGTCATTAGGCGTTCGTCCTTATCCTGGTAATCTAATCGCCCGAAAAACATTCCATCGAATCCCATTTGCGCGAATATTGAAGCCATCTCTCTTGAGTGACCAAATGGATCAATTTGCCACCCTATTCGAGGGCGACCACATTCTCCAAAGGTATCATTTAAACGTCTGAAATGGCTCTGTTAATCGATTTTGTTGTATAAAATTGTATTCTCATCCATACCTCAATCCCCAGGAAAATTGATCTATTATGCTTTGATAATGCGTTGTGGCTTCATCATTCATACTCCATGCTCCACCAATAAACTCCAGCCTTCCTTCGCTTACCAACTTTTTTACGGATTCTTGAACTGATGAAGTTTGCTCCTTCCACCATTTAAAGAAAAAAGCCGATTCAACGTAGATAAATCGTTTCTCTGGATCTTTGATCAAAGCGTCCACAACTGAATCAATAATATATTGCACACCAGCCTTTTGAATATTAGTCTCACTGCCGTAGTAATATTGGTCAACCGTTTTTAACCATCCGACGTCATCATGGGTGTGTGCTATCAGATGCACATTTAACATATTCGGTTTTGTAGGATGACAGCTCTTAAATTTTTTGGATATTCGGTATGGTTACAATTTAAAATGTTTAAAAAGTAATTAAAGCATTAATTAATATTTAAAATAAGAGCAGTATGTATGTCTTTTTGTAAAGATATCATCAAATACGATTTTCATGCCCAATCGAACATTTTTTCATAAGCGTCGCAGCGACTATATCCTATTTTATTCCGCAAGTCAAGCAAATGAGCACTGAAACAAAAGCCAAGCTTTTTCCGGGGAGAGGGCGCAAAAAGAGAGAGAAAAAGCTCAAATCTATATGGATTTGATATTCTGTGCAGCATGGGAATACATGAATGTAAATAGTCTGAAATGATATTGTATACGTCACACGTGCCCGATATTCAAAGATATGTTCATTGCATTTACCTACATACATATGTATACATGCATACTCATTGAAGTTCAATCACCAATAAATGCTTATCATTCAAACAGGCGGTTCGGCTGCAGCACACGCAACCCAAACAAACATCTATTTATGACGACCGACAGACATAAATATATGTATAGAGTTGTCTGCTGATGTTGGCTACATATATATACATACATATCTACAAATATACGCTTCCACCTCAGGTTGAGCGGCGTTGCATGTTGTCGAAATCACTATACTTGCTGTAATATCAATAGCAGGATTCATATTGCATGTACACATGTATTTTTAACCTGAAGCAACTACCATCGCAATTATGTGTATGCATATGTGTAATATGTAAATATACTATGTATGTATAAGTAAACCAGAGGCCGGTGCATTGGAAATTGTTCCGATGCTGCGCTCACGTAAAGCAGTGGTTGGCACCAAAACAATGTTCCGTTTTGCCTGCTGTCTACTCACACAAAAGCAATAAAAAAACATGTGAACATGCACATACTTATGTATCTATATATATGCAAGCCGATCCCTGAAGTAAACATACAAATGATCAGTCAGAGAGATCAGTAATTTTCTTGAAAATAATATAATACTCTAGTAAATAATAAAGACAACGGTGGGGTACCTTTAGCATCGACTCCCAGAGGTTAAATTTCTTTGTTGTTGTATTTTAAATGCGCATTTACTCACCAGATAACCGCACTGGGATGCCGGTGACTCTCTCAATTTGTCGTAGGCTGCATTGATATTTCGCATATCGACGCCATGTAGAAAGTAAGAAAATATGCATAAAGCTGCAGACCAAGATATAGTTTCGCGAGACATGGTAGCTTTCTCCTTTCTATGCTATATGGACAAAAGGAACACAAATGTACATACAGACTTACGAATAATTTTACACACAAACATGACCGCTAAATTTATGTACTTTGATAAGGAATCGACAAAGCGAACTTACTGAATGTTTCCTACACCAATAACCAACCACATCAGAATGATCAAGCGGAGAACACAACTCAGCTCGAGAACTAAAATGTACTTGATTGCTCTCTTTGGCGTTGATATGTACATGTACATTCATCCGTATGTATGTGTACATTAAACTCAATACATGGTTTGTAGCACTTCGGCGGTCAGCGAATGCACTGATGTAGCCACAACCTACAAGTTGTCACTAGCTACTGGTAGTCGAGCGTCGAAACAGTCCAAATATAAACAAAAAGACTCTACACAAGCAAGTTAATATTAAGAGAAAACTAAAATAAAAAAAAAATTCGAAGAAGAAACAAGAAAGTAAAACAAACAAAAATAATTACTATATTTTGACCAACTGTAGTAACAACTTTAAAGCAATTTTAAAAAATGTGTTTTTTTATATTCCCGCTTCTTTCAGTAAGATTTCAATTTGCCCGAATCACTGAATTATTCTATATTTGTAAAGCTCCAAATCTATCATAAATTGTCGGTCTGACTCGAAGCGTAAATATGGTGTTGCATAGTGCTGTTGACCTGACCAATTATGTCAACAACACTTTACGTTTTCGAGCTTACGGCTTTCGCAGACGTATTTTGTTATCGATACTTCGGAATTAAATCTCTGTTACACATAACAGAGGCTTTTGTGCACATAATACTCTTAATTCTGGGCTTAATAGAACTAAATTTGGCGTTTAACAGAACAGGTGAAAATGAAACAGAATGTTTTGGGCGAAAACGCAACATAGAGAGGCACAAGCGCTATTTATGTTCAACCGTAATTTCGTGCACTTCGTCTATTTCGATTCCATCTAATAACCAACATTCTAGCTGTTTCCATTCCTGACCTTCCGTTAAATATTTCACTCTCTTTCTTTCCACTTGCGAAATACGAATACCATCCAACCGTTAAATATCGCTAGCTTTTCTACAGGATGCCACTGCTTAAGGAACAATGAGAGAGAGACAGAATGTGCGTGTGTCGTTTCTGACCAGGGGACAGACAGACGGATGGAGATTATTTAGAGAGACCAAATTTCTTTCTTTCCAAGATGCCAGCTGGTATGGCCACGCTTTTGTATCTAATTCCCTTATAATTTAAAATCCAGACTGATCAGGCTAACAATCTGCGCCAACAGCCGATCTTGCTCGGTGTGCGGCAGATGCAGCAGGCTACGCGAAACATCGAGATGTCGCAGATCCCGGGTCGTATCGGCAACGCCCATCTTAGCAGCCTATGCACCCAAAGACGATCAATCCTGACCTGAGCCATCTTTTTGGTGGGACTGTTTGGGGACCTACAGCGATTATGTCTCTCCTGGGTTTCTTTTCTAGGGTATAAGTCTAGGCTCTCCTAGGGTCTTTTCTTTTATATCCCGCATATTTTTTACCTTAAACTTGGAAATCTTGCAGGTGTGCGGAGATAAAAAGTTTTCCCGTGACATCTCTCGAGTACTCGCCGAGTCGAGTACATTTGACTGAAAATCATCCCAATGTCCAGAGATCGCATGACACCCAGACATGTAGAAGTGAGTTGGTTTCTTGGCCAAGGACGTCACCCAAGCTATACACCCAACCTTAGTACTAACCCTGGTACAAGGTAATGTTACGTACACTTACTCTCTACGAGGGTGCCGGCTGGGCAATGAACACTGCATTGCTTGATTGCTTGCTGTTGTCCGAGGTAATGCAGGATCTTCGGAGGAGCTGGTCAAAGTGAAACCTAAAGGTGCATACCGGATGGGCATAAAAACACAAAATTAACCAAACTTTTGGATATTAGCCCAAATGTCGGAAAGAAGCGTGCCTGCTGACTCTTTGCAATTTGAGATGTATGGGCTCCTTAGTCGATGCAGGCTCGGACGTAGGTAGGTGATCTGACAGATCTCAGCTATTTTTAGGTGAGGTTTCCATTTTTTTCCGCGGCACACCAAATGGTACACCACTTTGCCGCGGCACACGTTTTGAAAACATCGCATCCCGGTCCCAAGGTGCTGATATATAGCTGATCCTGTCTATACCGAGAGCAAAGGTGTTCTTGAAAATGCAGTCTAAGGGGACCGAGCACTTTGGTTTCTCCAAAAAGGACTAGAGGGTTCAGCCTGCTGGTAGCCCATTACCCAACGAGGAGGTGAGCATTTGATTCTACAGATCAGAAAAAAAGGTAGAGGATTTGCTGTACTCTCAGAGACTATAAGAGCTAGAGAAATGAAACTGCAGTGGCTTCGATAGCATAGCAACGCGCTAACTAATTCTCTCTCTATCTCACGCACTCTTTGTTAATCAGGGTGCGCACTCTCGCGTAGGGGGGCCATACTGACTGAGTATCGGATATAAATGTAGAATAGCGTTAGTAGCTGCGACTTAAAACGTTCTCATTCGTTTCAATACGATCTTCTCACTGAAAAAAATTGAAAAGAACGAAACACAGTTAGCCTCTCAGAAAACCGAACAGTGTTCTTCTCTTCGCTTGGTTTCTTGTGCTCACAAGGACAACTTAAAGCGGTTATTTATTTTGATTATTTTGATGAGTTCACAGCACCAAAAAACATGCAATTGAGCAGAGCCCCAAAATTGTCCGCATAAAGGGACTTTTGTTGTTCTTGTGGTGTTTGAGAGAGAGAAAGACAGAGCTACATGGTCATCTCTGGAGCATGAGCACTCAAAAGACAACTTATCCAGATGTAGAAAACGTGGGCAAAGATAATTCCTAAAACAAGATATTGTATGCAATTAGTTAGTTTTATTTTAATTTAGCAACAGTACCGGACAACCTATTCCAGTTTTAGAAATATAATTATGTGGTAAATAATTTATTACTGATGGACTATAAAGGTACGAATTTGCATTGGTAACAGCGTAACACTAAACTTAGAAGCATCCATCGTATAATTAGCCTCCAGTGGCTTATGTGGAGTAAAGAAGTAACTGACTGAAGAAGGAATAATGCCGGTACCATCATGATGAAACTTGAATCTCTTCATTTGTCTTAGAGGCATATTTCCATCTAAAGTTACTTCCCAAATCTGTCGTCCGCGCAAAGATTCGAAAAGAGGATGAATGTTGTAGCTTTTTATGCCTCCACAGGAATTAAAGTTCTCCAATCGTAAAAGAATTTTGTTGGTTGAATAAGGCTCAAGGGAAAGAAGCTCCATTGATTCCGGAAAATCGTTAAAATTTGGCATCATGTGCTGAACTATCGAAGGAACGGTATTTGTTTTACTGAAAAACTTACAAAATGGCAAATGTAATTCATGGTGGGTTAAACGCTCAAAACAATTTGGATTCTCTGGGACAGCATTCAGAATAAGAAAAACTTTTCCTCGTGCTATCAAACCTTTGCCAAACTGTTCTTCATTAAGAGCTTCGCCGACCCCAAATGCATCGTCATTTAATAAACGACGATGTAGCATCAACTCCAATTCACCGTCTTCCAAGCTAGTTCCGCCCTGTGAACGATCATTGAGTAGAGTTATACGCTTATGATCATCTTGTATGTACATTTGTGCGGTAACTGGATAGTAATTTCCACTTATTTCTTCTGTCATATCTGGTTCGAAGAATTCTCGTTGGTTCCTTTTACGTTCAAGCATTTCTCGACCATTGGAATCAGTGTAAAAAGTGCCATTCGAGTATACGTTGCTTGTAAAGCGGCCCAATTAGCCATTCAAACTCCACACGGTTTACTCCATCATAAATACGTACTACTTGGGAAATCCACTCGTTCACATGTTGATGAACTTCCCTAACATTCTTACCATTGTAAATTGAATATTCTATTTTATCGCTTAGAACTTGAATTTCTCCGTCTGGACGAAAAACATATGCACCTGAGGATCGATTTTTTGAAATGCCGTTATTGCCCTGGAAGCCTTTATAAATGCCAAAGCTTTGATGAATATTTTCGGATACACCATTCATTTCTACAGCTTTAAGGTGGCCTGTACTTTTGGTGAACACAAGCCTTATAAGCTGAAAATTATTTCATTGAATTGAATTAGTGGTAATTACTCTTTTGTATCTCACTTACTGAGTTCTCTAACGTGAATTCATCTGCGTCGTTCTCAGCTATGGGTATTGTTTGATCGTTAATTAAGTAATTTTTCTTTCTCGGTAAGGGAAGTACGCGAATATAGAAGTTGGAAATTTTTTTCACACTGGCTTTAAAGACTAATTCATGCTGAGTGTCATTCGAACGGTGTTGAAGACCTAAAATTTCCAATGGCACTGGTACAATCTCCGATGATATTTCACGACCTAAATAAAAACAGTTTGTTTATATAATATCAATCAATATCAATAAATCATCACTTGTACCGTTTTCATCGGTAACTTGATAGTTTTCTTCCGTTACAGGCACACGCACATATTGGGAAGAAGTGTGAGCCAGCGGGTTAACTAATGTTACCACTATGTTGTTAGCACTTGTCTGTGTAAGCGCGCAAACACTTATGTTTAATTCTAAGCAAGTTTGGAACTCCGCCCTAGTATGATTGGTTAACACACGCAGAGCATCGCGAGCATTATTTTCGGCTCCAATAATTGCGTTGTATAACATTTGATCGTAGTCTTGGGCAACTGCCTGTTTTTCAGTGCCCGTTATAGCATCATGATGCTGCATAACACCCATTGCCTGCCGCAAGATGCTTAGGGATTTTGTGTGCTTAACGCTGGTCAGATTAGCTAGTGTGCTAAGTTGTTTAACCGTCTGAAGGAAATGATTTCCATCCCGCTCGAAACGTTTTTGGGTTGGACGTGAAGTAAAATATCCAGTCCAATAAGAATGATTGTCGCTAGAATATGGAAAGAAATCCTCGGTTTTGTTTGGCCAACTTTGCAGTAACTGATGCAATTCGTAGAGGTAGCAA